TGCTTTCCGTAGAGAATTAGAGATTTGATATTTTAATAATTATTATTCAATTTATTATTATTATATGATATTATGGGAGACTGCGGTATTTATAGCAGCATGTTTGACGAAATTACATCTGAAACTTCATGTGGCGACTCTACCCACGATTATGTATATTAAACCCTATAGAACTTGAGAGATATTGATCAACGCAGTGCAATTAGTTGACCAGCGCGGATCGGACAATGGGCGAGAAAAATTATGTTTAAAATGTTTTCGGAAGCAAAATACTTATACTGTTGTACCAAGGTATAGTTGACTAAATATTATTTGCAGCGGTTCGTCTTAGCGCTTCACCTGTAGACTACACTAGGACAAAAAAGTGAGCCGTTTCGGTAACGCACTTGCCATCTGTACAGTACATACAAACAAATTTAGTCCTTTTGTTTAGATACTTAACTAAATGTAAACAATCTTGATACACCTTTTTATTGAAACATATACTGTACAAATCAATAGGTATAAAAATAGGCATGCAATTTCATATGTGAAGCTAAGTTTTTTGTATTTGAAAATAAGTAAAAATAATTTTATAAATTTATATTTCATTAAATAGACATCTCAAGATTGTATAAAATATTTTAAATAATTTTACGCATTGGGACTTAATTCTAAACATGGTAATCTTTACGCGTAATTAACTTGTTGAATTAGTAAGAAAATAATGATATTTTACGAAGTACCTACTGTTAAAAAAAAAAGTATAAATAAATAATTGAAAACTAGAATTTAGAAAAAGCATTTAGCGCCCATGACTGGCACGGATGGACCAAGATCGTTAAATCCGTGTACGGTTTAAGTAAAAGAAATGTTAATGGTTTTATTATCCTATTGTAATAGAAAGGATAAGCCGTTCGAAGATACAACATTCATCGGTGCAAATATAATATTTCTTCAACTATAACAAGTACAGTGGCCGTTGTCTCATCAGTGGTGGATGGTGTAGTTCTGAGAGTGATATGTTAAGAGTGTAAACAAACGGTTTGACTGATATGTATTGCCGTCTCCCAATAGTTAAAACTAGTAACATACTTTTAAATAATCTCCATACAAAAATCAGTATATTGATCCTTCGTTATAACTCGTTCTGTAAGAGGAAGTCAGTTTCCATTCGCAATGATAGGTTGGGAGCTTACCTCCTGTGTACAACTTCCAGGAGTTTAGTCTGACTATTGACAACAGAGCCTTTTCAAACCATGTGCAGTAAGCATATAGTAGCTGTGGAGCACATTGTGTAAGAGTTTGTCTACCTTACCTATTACTGCCGCCAAGCGGTAATGGCAGGGTAAAGCTGCCTTTCCACCATAGATGCAGCGGCGTGGTGGAGGATGCGTTAGAGACTCTTTTCAGCCATGCGCGGGCGGGGTACAGTATGGTGGGGTGAGTGGTGGCGATGTGTCAGTGTCAGTTAGTGTCATACTTTCAGTAGCTCTAGTTTCCTACACCGTTTTGCACACATTCCTCGCCCACATCCCTCGCTACTTATCCTATTGGTGGATTTTTTTCTCGCACACCGCCTCGCAATGTCGCATATTTCTGGTATAAAGGCAGCTTGAGGGTGCAGGTGAAATTACAGGCACATGGGACTTGTGATATGTCTCGGGTTAAGGGGCGCAGTGCCAGAGCCCTTAAGTTTCTATATTCCTGAGACTGAAAAATCTTGTTTTCACAAGTCTCCAAAATTAAAAAAACAGTCGAAACTGAAATTCCAGAAATGAAAGCCCTAGCCCCTAGCCTGTATTCCACTCATCTTAATGGGTTTTATATAGACGACATAAGGAGGGGTGAAAGTAATATATTGGTTTTTGTATGGCGCCTGCAGGTGGACCACGTATGTACACTAGTGCCATATCAATTATTGGAAATGTTGAATATTTAATAAAAACTCGTTATATATAACGTAAACAATTGTTTTATTTCTATTCTTAAATGTTATTATTACTTGCTACCAAAAAAAAACGCATATCTATTATGAGTAAATAATTTATTTAAAATTCACCACACCACTAAACATTTTATTAATTTTATATAAATATCCAAAAATAATGTCATTGACTAATAGTAAATAGATTTTTGGACGGTATGTGTAGTCAGAATTTTAATTGAAACTGTAATCCAATTTGACACCACTCTGGATATAACGAACGATGGACTGAAGACTTGGCTGTATGCTTTAGAAACCTTTGCCGTTTCATAGAGGGAACAATTTTAACAAATTGGCAATATTCATTAGATGATGGAAAAAAATAAAGGAAATATTAGAGCTGACAACATAAAAAAAAGGATATTTTTTATGAAGAGGCTGTATGGTGAAACCTTTGCCTATCCAAATAAATGAGTGAAAATTAATTAAAAAGAAAAAATCAAAAATATGGCGGCATTTTGTAGTTACGGATTTTACGTTTCAAATTTTTAGTATAAGTATTAAAATTCTATACTCAGACATCTTAAATAAAAAATAACGGATAACACACGACATGTTTCGAACTAATTCGTGGTCCTTAATCGTGAGATTCCGCGGCGGTGACTCGACGGAAACTTTCGACTTAAATACGTGATATATCCGTTATTTTTTAGTTAAAATTATATATGTTTCGCATTGACTTACAATTATATGGACGTCGGGTCTGCGCTAAAAAGTGTCCGAACTTGTAAGGCGTGAAAATCGTATACAGAGCGTCAAACTGCGCTTTAGTCTTCATTTGTTCGATTCACAGCGCGATACTGCGATGACATTACAATTTAAATTTCGAATAGGTTGAGTTGGGACATTTTTTTCGTGGTTTTTGTATTAGACCATGAAATCCTCACCAACAAACGCTCTTCAAGTCGAATGTCTGGAGCCCCCTCTACATCTACGTAGACAATTCCTTGCTAATAGATTCCTCTTCAAGATCTTTCAATATTCTTCTCACCCTTTGCTTCCCGTATTGCAATCCCTGTCGGAGATTATCCCTTCCTCCAATTATTGGTCACACAAGAAACCCCCCCTTCTTATCAACAGTTTTAACAAAATTTCCAATCTCCCATTCCCTATTTACCAAAATTATATGAACCCGTTGTTTGAAACTGATTTTAAATGTTTAACGTTTCGCCCAACAGTCTATCTTAGTTTTGGCATCATGAAAGATACCCCTGGAGCAAACCAAGTCTTCAACGATATAGTTGAGAGAGAATGGCATGACTGGACTACTGTTTTTACCGACGCTTCAAAATTACACGAACATGGCGACTTGGGAGCCGCGGTTTGGTTCCCCAAGTTCAATGTCGTACTCAGTTTTAAATCCCCCTATCTGAATTCGGTCTTTTCGGGAGAGGCAATTGCAATACTCGAAGCCATTTTATATATTGAGTCCCATAAAATTAATAAATGTTTGGTTTTCTCAGACTCACTAAGTTGCCTCCAAGACATTATTAAGCTACCGTTTCATTCCAAAGACAATTTCTCCATCGCCCTCCAAATTAAGGAAGCTCTGTACCGATGTCATTGTGCGGGAATTGAGGTAACTCTGGCCTGGATTCCCGGTCACACTGGGATCAGTGGCAACGAAGCAGTAGACGCCTTTGCAAAGGATGCGACAAGAATTGGCGTGTGCAAATACTGTAAGTGCTTTCCCAGAGATCTGCTCGCCATGACTAAACCCCAAATGCTAGCCTCCTGGTCGGCCCTTTGGCAGGAATCACGACAAACTGTTGGTAGACACTATGGTAATCTCCAACCAAATCTACCCACTAAACCCTGGTTTTTTAAACGTCGCGATTTGCCTAAAAACATCACTTCCACTATTATTCGTTTGCGCTTAGGCCATGTTTGCACACCTGTATTTTTGCGTAAAATCAGAGTTCGAGATCACTCTCTGTGCGAGTGCGGCCTAGAAGACGGTACCTTGGAACACATTTTTTTCAATTGTCCTAATATTGCTGTTCCACTTTATAACTTACTTTCTCCAAAATTCCCCCGCCCCGTTAACATAAACAACCTCTTAACTTTAGTGTTCTCCCCCCATATTGTTACTCTATGTAAATTTATCCACTTAAATAACATATATTTATAAATATTGTTTTGCTGTTTTGTTTTACATTCTCAACTGAGTACTCCCGTAGTCCAACTTACCAACACCGGTTAATGTCCTATTAGAGCTTAGCGAAAATTTTTTTTTTGTTTCGTTTTTTTTTCTTTCAACTGTGACATTGGCAAAATCATCAGTTCTCATATTGATGGAGCCATAAAAATAAAAAGTGAAGTGAAGTATTAGACCCGTCGTCCATTTATTTGTAAGTCAATGATGTTTTGAGTTTCTTTTACCTGTTTAAGCCGATAGCTCTATAGCCAATGCACATTAAATTAATAATAATAAAGTTTGTTAGGTTAGTGTTTACTAACGGTGAATTACCCAGTCAAGAAGTAAGTGAAACTTGACTTACTCTTCCACATGTTAACAGCCGAGAATTTATTGCACCTTTTCAGTTTGAGCGATCGTCATAAATAGCACTGAAAAAGTGCAAAACAAAGAGAGCTTTTGATATACACGACTTGTTTCTTATTAACTAAAATTGGTCCCTTAGGTTCATCGAGAATTTAACCAGAAATAGAGACGAAATAAGGGCCATCCATCTACTCAACTCGTCAAACAAAGGGGCCTTATATTACTTTTGAATTTAAACTCTCGTTCGCACTGAAATCACAAATTAGAAAACTGAAATGGTACAGCGCCAACAACTGGCCTGTGTGTACGTCTCCGTATATTCCAAAAATATTCTATTTATTGTAATAAAGATAATATCTCTAACAATATGTGGCTATTCCATTCGGTGGTGTAGGAAAAACAGCAAAACATCTAATTACAAAACAAACGGAATCACATTTCATGGGTAATTAAATATGTAATTTTTCAACTTTCGTCCATTACAGCAAAGCTCAAGTTAAACTGGTAGATTTGAAGTAAAACAATTGACGACACCCGTCAATTGTTTCGAATTCGGGCTGGCCAATCGGAGCGCAGTTGTCACCGTAATGATTTGGCAGAATAGTTTTCAAACAAATTAAATGATATTTCGTCTCTTATTTCAAGCTATATTTATACTCGATGCTTAGGTTTAACGAAATTTCTGAATAAAATCTATCTGCTGGGACACATCGTTAATTGGATTTTTTAAATTTATTTCATGACCTTAGTGATTAAAAAAAGTAGTAGTAGAACCAGTGTCGCCATTAAGTTTTATTGCCAGTGTAGAAATCTATAGGTTAGTATATCGATGTGGTTGGTTAGTTTGAACACACTGGAATAGACGCAAGAAAAAAAACTATACTTAAATAATCGAAGTCACCAATATAGTTATTATGGCGTGTTTACACAGGGTCGACTGTTGACTGCCGGCAGATTATTTCGATTTGCCGAATAAATCGTAGTCTACTCTGTGATTAACAACCTATAGAAAGATTATTTACTCGCTGCAGATTCGGCCATAAATCATCGGAGCACGACAGCCGCATTGCGCTGCCTCCCACTTGCATAGTATTGGTGTTTATGGAGGAAATTAAAAATATCGGAAAATTAAGAATTATTAATTTGACGCTATTAAACAAGAGTGCAAAAATGGAGTGAGTGGAGAGAGAAATTACAGGCACATAGAACTTGTCAACTTGTCACAGGATGACAGGCGCAGCGGCAGTGCCCCTCACATCTTTGCTACTTAAGAGCTCTGAACGGCACTCGGTCCACTTCGGCAGCGTACTAACAAACGATTCCGTCAGTTTACATTGTGCAGAACTGTGGACCTTGTACAGAGCATATAGGATTGGAGGCGCTATTAGCGTTATTTCTCGGACAAAAGTTTGTGCCACTTTTTGAGGGGCGGGGAAGGGGGGGGATAGTACTACAAGCAAACAGGTGCACTCAAATGCAATATTGAATTGTGTCACTATAGTACACACACAAACAAAAGTAGACAACACTACCTTTTTTTTACAAATACACAGATCGACAAAAATAAATCGATTCTCATGAATATACTAGAGACGGAAAGTTATCGACGTGACGGTGTCGATATGCATTACGTACTAATTAATCACGTATATCCAAAATGTAATTCCACGTGGCTAGACTGGATGTAGCTGAGATTTTTTTGCAAGTTTATATAGCGCAAGAACGACATGTTTCGTGGAGTACTTGACGCGGTGAATTCGATAATGGAAATGAAAAAACATCGATTCGGAAGTAGTGTTTATTGTGCGATGGATGTTTTTTGCTTGTACCTTGACAGAGGGGACTGCCTATCGATGACTCCTCCAGTCCTATATGCTCTATAATTAGAGGTAAGTAATGATACTGGGATAGGCCCGGAACTTAATAGTGAGGCACGGCTAGTAATAGTCAGGGACTGGTGCGCACGCGATTTTGACAAAGTCCTCGTACTGCACAACGCCATTGTTCGACACGTTGGCTTCACGGAAAATGTTGTCTACCTGAAACGATATTTAATTCATGTTTAGTTGTCACAATCAATAATTACCCTTGGTATATATAAAAAAGCCGATGTGATGATACGTCAAAAGTGCTTCTATTAAACGAAAACAGCGAGTATATAACCAGATATAGAGACGAAATAAGGGCCATTCATCCCTGGCAACTTATCAAGCAAATGGGCCTTATATAACTTTTAGATATCGAGTCTCGTTTGCGCTGAAATCACAAATTAGAAAGCTGAAATAGTACAGCGCCAACAACTGACCCGTGTGGAGGTCTTCGTATATTCCAATAATAATCTGTATTTATTGTAATAAAGATAACATCTCTAACAATGGGAGGCTGTTCCATTCGGTGGTGTGGGACAACAGCAAACCATCTAATTACAAAACAAACGGAATCACATTTCATCGGTAATTAAATATTAAATATGTAATACTCGTATTTCAATTTTCGTTAATTTCAGCAAAGCTCAAATTAAACTAGTCGATTTGAAGTGAAACAGTTGACGACACCCGTCAATTGTTTCGAATTCGGGATGGCCAATCGGAGCGCAGTTGTCACCGTAATGATTTGGCAGAAAAATTTTCAAACAAATTAAATGATATTTCGTCTCTATTTCTGGTTATATACTCGATGAACGAAAATCACAACATCAATACGAACTCCATGAAACAAATTATAGTCTGTCTTTTTTAAAGATGAAGTAAAATGACAGTTAATTGAGCAAAAGTGTTGCTCGTAAACGGCTAATGATTGCAGTCGATAAAAATTCATCGACTATCGACTGAATGTTGGTTACGCATGCGACAAATAGTCGAAGTTGAATCATCGTCGGCCCATTAATCGTCCAACTGCTGGGACGGGGAACAGGGTCATTTCAATTGTCAATTGTTGCAAGTTCATACATACATACACTGCATTTAGAACTATTTCTATTAAAAATTCAAAGAGGAGACATATTTTAAAGTTTATTATTAGATAATCAAATCCTCATGTTGATGTCAAAATGTGTAAACGAATAAAAATTTATTTTGATACTAGCGAGGAAGCTGTCAAAACAAGAATGAAGAGAACAATAACTCAATTAGTAACTTTTTTATTATCTATTATATTGTTAAATATTAACTAAAATAACGGATAACTCACGTCGCACTGTTAATACAATAGTGTACTAACTCAAAAAGTGTATTTTCTCCGAATCGAATACATTTAAATACAAAAAGGGAAAAAAATATTTCATATTTTTGAATAAGGACTGTTTCGGTCAGTAACACCTCACATAAATTGTGTCTCGTTTTGAGTTAAGTGAATATTTTTTATTTCTTTTTTTACAAAATTCTAACGAAGGTTTTACTGACGTGTAGAGAATCAAATTTTACGTTCAATAATGATAGAATCTTGAATTTCACATATTTTGAGTTACAACACTATTGTAATGGCAGTGCGACGTACGACCACGACCGTTTGTCGTTGTCGACCACGTACAAGGACCACCATAGAACGACGTAACATTCAAAATTCAGACATTTTTTGGCATTCTTTCAAAATCTGTCGATAACAACTACAAGACTATTTAAAATTTTATGAAAATTGGCAACCCTACAAATGCCATTTTACCCCGTCTTCAAAAAAGACAGACTATAATGTGTATGTTTCCTTAGATAGGGTTATCTTTAAAATACTAACAACCTTACAGAACTATATTACTAACATCATTAACAACAACTTATCTTCCATAACTTATTACAAAACATAATAAATTTACCAAAAAGAAACTTTATAGTTTTTGTTGTATGTTCTATCTGACACTTTCGAGATTTGTATTTGGTAGAATAAGTACAACCGTCCTGTACAGAGTTATTACCGTTTAGAGCGATCTATTTAAATATATATTTATTTTTGTATGATGTTGGTAATATAGTCTTGTGACGTTGTTAATATGTTACAAAAACACACCTGTTTCGCAACCCCAGTGAACATTTTTTTTAAATATCAAGTGACGGGACGAACAAGTCGTGCGTCTGATGGTACCTACACGCCTGTCTATAACAGTTCCATCGTCACTCAGAGCTTTAAATCGCAAACATCTGAGAAGCTGTGCCACTACCCGTCACCCTGAGACATAAGTTGACAAGTCCCATGTGCCTGTAACGTCACCACCGCCCTTACCCTTCTAAACCGGAACACAGTAATGCTGGCATTACTGATTGGCGATGGAAATAGGTAAGGTGGCAGTACTACCTTAGACGAACTCTTTCACAAGGAGTTTTACTGGTACTAATAATTATAATATATTTATTACTATTCTATTATAATATCTCTATCCATTAACATGGTATGCTCCATACTGTCATATATTTAAAGTAGCAGAAGAGGTAGTAAAAGCATTCGTCGAGGGAAAGTAAAGCACTACCATTTTATCCATTACCGCGTTCCGGTTTCGAAGGGTAAGGGTGCTGGTGAAATTACAGGCACATGGGACTTGTCAACAACTAAGGGTGGCGGCCACAGTGGCAGCACACCTGAGATCTTTGCAAGTCTTGCGTGTTACTTAGCACCAGGTGCACGACTGGTTCATAACATCATTTCGGCCTGTTTGCACCCACTGCTGAGTACAGACCTCCTCTATAGAGCTATTCGTTCAGGTCCCTTGCGAGTCGTGTCCAGTGGTTTCCAACTATGGCCTTGATAACATCAATCCATCGGGCGGGTGGTCTGACTCTTGATCTTTTTGCGTCTCTTGACCACCATTCAGTAACGACTTTCGTCCAATCTTCCATCGTCCCTTCAAGCCAACTCATTGGGTACGTGGTCCAGCAGAGAAATTACATCAAAATAAAAAATTGTTACCTCGCGTGCAGAAAGTCCTTCACCCCAGTTCTGTAGAAGGTTACGAAGTTGCCTAGCAGGAATCGACGATTTCTTTTCAGGGTCACCGGCTTTAAAAGCATTTACAACCTGTAAATTTAGAGACAGCCTGTGTGTATTTTACTTTGGATCACATGTAATTTTCAAAACTAGTGTAGCTTATACATATAATAGTTACCTCGGTTGGAAGGTTTTCTGCGCGGGAGTGAATGTGCATTACTTCAAGGAAGTCCGCAAACGACATTTTACCACCCTTGCCTTTCAGGTATCCTGCGTAATCAATACATATATTGTATTACTCGTATCGTTTACTTTGAATGAATGAACAAATTAAATGGTTAATAATTATGTGGGGAATTTTCTGTCCCACGAGTACCGGAACAAAAACACAGAAAAAAACAATAAAAGGCCTTATGGCGCGTTTACACCGGTCGACTACCTCGCCAGTCGAAGGCGCGACGCAGTCGACGACGTCTGCCGCCTTCGGGCTCTTACACATAAACACGATACGACGTCGCGTCGTGCTACGTCGCGGCATCGTTTCACGATGCGACGTCGTATCGTGGAAGTCTACGACGAGTGACGTAAAAATTCACGCCACGACATCGTAACGTGTCACGACGCCCGGCACGACGTCGTATCGTAGAAACTCACGGTGCGCTCCCCAGTGCCGCATTAATTCGTTATTCAATATTCAAAGATGACTTTGTATTCTAAAGTTTTGTCCCATAGTACAGGACGCTCCTCGACTAGGGTTATTAAATAATTAATCTCAATGTCTTCTGTCATCTTTAACCGCATTGGAGCAGTACGCCTGAGTATGGCCTGTGGCGAAATAGATTAAATTTTCATAAATGTACTGTGACACTAGGGAAGAACATATTCTTGGTAATTTGAGGAGTACTGATAGCTGCAGACCACACTTTAAACAATTTAAAATTTTGACTTTGTGTTCTATATATATTTCAGAAATTTGTAAATTTATTAAACAACACCCTGACTTTTATATTAACATGGACGACTGCCCCAACGACACACTTTTAGACCACGCAATAGATAGCTTCCGCCACGATCTCAGCTACACATACACAGCTCAAGTCCCTACTCGATGTCGGTGAGGATATTCAATGATCTCCCGCCCATTATTAAAAACGACGAAAAGTATTCACTGTTTCTAAATAAATTAAAATTACATCTTATTAATAAATGCTATTACAATTTAAATGAATACTTTGATGACAAATAATAATATTATAATAAATAAATCTTAATTATATATTATAAAGTTATGCTATTGTAATTAAATTCAAACTTTCAAGTGACATAATTCTGCTTATAATATGACGTATTTCTTATTATATTTTTTATTTTATATATAGAATAAATAACAATTCTAATTAATAATTGAAACCTCGGCCAACCTCTGCTTTTATTGTTATCCCTAATAAAGGGCTCATATGTGTAGCATTATTTTAAATTTAAGACATGTATGTACCATATGAATGCAATAAATATATTGAGTATTGAGTATTGAATGCTAATTTCTTTATACATCCCTGTCAAATACAGTCTGGGGCCCAGATTGTTAATTGTCCTAACCACCGTTTAAGCAGTACAAATGGGAATTAAAATGTCAGAGTGTATATTTGGCTAAATATGTATCGTTGTGTAAACAATACAATAATAACAATAAGTAAATAATAAATTTATTTGCAATTTAATAAGTAAAATTATTCAAATATTTTCCATTAGTCACAGGGAGAAACTGAAACAGTACACTCAACTGTGCACCCGACATAATATAACCATCCAGACCATAGCTGCAAACCTGGACTAGCCCGTTTCTTTATCATACCATTGTATATCAGAAGCTTGTCTGTAATGTTACATACTATCTAATTTATAATACACACCAGTCAATTCCTGTATGGTCGGGCTCATCCCCAGAGAACGCATCACAACAGTCAACTCATCAAGGGACGTGATCTGACCAGAACGTGCAAACAGATAGAAGCATTCACGGAACTCTGGAAGGAGAAATTTAATAATCATGGTGTGAAATTAAGGGGCTTATTATGTATGCAACAACAAAACAAATCAGATGAAAATAATTTAAAGTAAAATGAAAGTTAAAAGTTTGTTTGAAAAAACAAATATACGCGATTTCAGTCCGGAAAAATAGTTTCATTTCCTATGAAAGTTAAAAGTTGAATTGTTTCCCAGGCAGCCTCAGTCAGATAGTTTCATATCAGCTAAAACTTTTTCAAACAACTACCTGGCCCTACCAATTTTAAATCATCTCAATCAAGCTATTATTCAATGCCATTGCAATTTTTTGGTATTCTGACATAAAAGAATAGATTTTAAGGCTAAATTGCTACTAAAATGAGATAGAAATTAAGATGTGCATAGTAAATTCCATGGTAGTTTTTTAGTAAGGCAACATTGATTAGTAGTGGTTGAATTAATGCCATTGTACTGGCACTCTATTGATATTCAACTGCCAAAAATTCAATCCCCTGTACTACGAATACTAGAGCAACGGAATTCACTCTGGAGCAATACCAAAACTTTTGAGTTTCAAAAATTTATTTTCCCACATTGGTCTTACTGGGAATCGAACCCGAACCTCCAATGGCCATAGTTAGTGTTGGGTTATTCAGAAAAATAAATCTTTTTTAGGATATTTTTTCTTTAATTTTCTACATTTGACGTTGTTACCTGTGAAAAGTTGAAGTTAGTGAATGAAAACCATGGAACTATTAAAACGGTTCTTTCGCTGTTGTGGAATCATTTTAAGACTCATGTACTCAATCAAGTACTCATGCGCATGACCTGTTCATTCTTCAAAAAAAATGTCTCCGTATTATAGTAAATATCTGTGAACGGGAAAGTTGTTGACCACATTTTATTCAAGAGAACATGCGAACTCTCCCATGCCTTTATATCATGGAAGTAGCATTATTTGTCCGTAAACAACCAACATATTTTGAATTTAATCAAAATACCCACCGTCAATATAATCTAATCCTCCCTGAACCTAAATTAGAATAGTTAAAAAAAGGGCCATTGTATAGTTCAATTATAATCCACAATAAAATCCCTAGACAAGAGGATAACATTAATGCATTTAACAAAAAATTGAAGCAATATCTTATTCACAAATCATATTATTTGATAGAGTTTATGTGTGAAAAATAAAGGAAAGATTCACGGAAAGCTCATTTCATTCAAAATAAATTAAATTTTATTAATAATTTATACATTTCGTTTTTAAGCTTATTTGCAACACCGTGACTGGGTTATGTACGATACCAAATTTTATTGTAAGAACTTTTTATTATGTACATGTGCAATATGAGATAAATAAATAAACTCGTTTTTCTTGAGGTGGTTTTAAGCTATACAAGTTTATTTTATAATTCATGCTAAACAAAACTTCAAAAGATATTTTTAAACGTAGAACATAATTATTATGAGCCTTCGAAATCATATTTATCCAATTTGTCGGTAAAAATTTTATCCGCTATTTTAAATTTTTCGGAAAATTATCTAACAGTACCCCTATTTAAGTTTGATCGGCGTAATTAATATTTTGATTAGCAGAAAAAACTTTAGGTGTCAACATTTCGAAAGTTACCAAAATACAGATGCGTTTGTATGACAGGGAGTGTTCACTCTTCAATAAATTTCAATTTCTAACAACACTTTCATTCACATCGGGCCAGAATTACCATAAAATCTATGTCAAAGTACAGTTAAATTTGAAAGATCATATCGATGTAATTATTGGCTCTAGGACACTTTTATCGTCAGATAATCTTAGTGAAGTACCTGAAGCGATGATTAACACATATTTTCTGCCTTATAACACCATATTTTATACAAGTGTCGTATAGATAAGACAGAAAAACCTTACCGTCTATATCTTGTTCCTTGAAATATCGTGCCTGAAAACAAATTGAATGTAATTTAATAGATTGAATGACACGAGACGTAATATAACACATAATTAAATAAATATTATTACCATTTTGAAGTTTTCTCAAGTAATAATGTAAAATTAAAAGTTCACTTCACTTCACTTTTTATTTTTATGGCTCCATCAATATGAGAACTG